TTTAGAACTTAACTCAGGACACCCTGTTGAGGATAACTGTAGGCAAATATTAATAAAAACTACCCCCTAGCAAATGTCACTAAGAACTCAAATGAAAACTACAAAACCAGTGTTATTTTTTTCTCGAACCTACACTAGATTGCTTGTCAAAGAACACCAGTAGATGCTGTTTACTTTAAGTTTAAAGAGCAGGGGATCATTTCTAAAAAAGAACATGACACTTAAAATGGCCTATCTACCCATCACAAGCATTTATTTCAACTCCATCAATTTGAAACTCTCAAACTGTTGGTTAAAGCTCTTTGAACAGCCCAAACAGCTGTTTGAATGCAGCACTAAATTCAAATGCTCTTGCCGAGTTTGTGTTTTCTGCTCGTGAGATACACACGTCAATCTCAGGTAAAAATGAGATCTGTTGGAAATGGGAGGGGAACGTCCACATTTGGACCTTGTCTGGCACTTTTAAAATTCCTGTTTTGAAAATCCCAAAGTCTTTACATTTGGATCACTGCCCTGAACTGGACCAGCTGCAGTTCTGTAGCTTTCTTTGTAGCTTTAATCCAATGTACCCTTATCAAGTAGCGGCAGAAGTCACTTGCTGCTAAATCAATGGCGCTGGCTTTCCTATGAACGTAAAATCCCTACGGTGTGGAAACAGGCCATTCAGTCCAGCAAGTCCACACTGTCCCCTTTGAAGAGCACCCCACCCAGCCCCACTCCCCTGCCTCTGCATTTCCCATGTCTAACCCACCTAAGCTAAACATCCCTGGACATTTTGAGGCAATTTAGCATGGCCAATTCACCTACCCTGCACATCTTTGGAGTGTGGGAGGAAAGCAGAGCATCTGGAGGAAACCCATGCAAACACAGGGAGAACATGCAAACTCCACACAGACAGTCGCTTGGGGGGTAGAATCGAACCCGGGTCCCTGGCGTTGAGGCAGCAGTGCTAACCACTGAGCAGCTGTGCCACCCGTGCTGATTTTCAAACAGCAAAAATATTTCAGGCAATTTAACCCCCCTAGATTCACCAGGACTCCTAGGTTTTTCATTGTTCTTTTGGGGTTAAACTGGATTTTATTTATTGAAATCAAACAAATCATTCAGCAGTCAATGTGGCAGTAAACACACTGGATCACTGGATAAAATGCAGACTGGCGCTCGGATATTAATGTGCAGAGCTTTTAGGACACTGATTGTATTAAGACAGAATGGGAAACTCATGATTTTATCAATAATAAAAACACTGAAATTATCTGATTAGGCTGCATGCAGCCTATTCAGTTTCCAGGTCAGGTACAGAGATTGAAGTGATGTGAACTTATTACTAGAGTAAGGAACAGACGGTCAGGTTGCAATGTGGTCGGTCATTATGCAGCAATTTCCTTTAGGCAATCTCCATCTGGAACATTTGATCTGAACTAGGGGGTCAGTCCTCTACTTTTCACAGAAACCTACAAAACTAGTCATGTACAATATCCTGTAGATGTTAGAAATGTATAAATACATGCCTTTATGGTTCCAACTTACTTTCCAATAGGCTCGTACTCACCATTTGGGTCAAAAATTGATACCAAGCTTACTAGATGCAAAAATCACCTTCAAACACAGAAGTAGCACATTACACTTCCATGCCAAAGAGTTAGGAGTAGGGAAGTCAAAAAGTGAGAATTCAAATAATTGCAGCAGTTGCAGAATTTTTAAAATTGAGGCTTTTCTTTGCACTATTAAGAGCAGAGAAATTTACTGCTAGTGTCCTAGCCAATATGTATCCCTCAATTCACATAATTAAAACAGGATTAGCTTGCCACTTGTCTCAGTTGATTATGGGACTTTGATGAACTTTACACAACAGCAGCTAAACTGCTACAGTTCTTATTTGATTGGCACCCCAAGGTCAAGAAATGCGGGTTTTGGTTTCTTTGCACTTTATTACCTGCTCTTTAACAAACAGAGGAATTACGATCAAGAGTAGACCATTTGGTCCCTCAAACCTACTGTGCCATTCAATAAATTCAAGGCTAATCTGACTGTAACCTTGCTACTGATTCCAGATACCATTTCGCTCCTTTAAACTTATCTACCTCCGCCTTAAAAGTATTCACTGACCCAGTCTCCACCAGTCACTCGAAGTTCAAAAGATTCATGACACTCAAAAACATTTCTTCTCAGGTCCCTCTTAAATAGAAGATCTGTTATTTTTAATCTGTGCCCTCTCATTTTACTGTCTTCTACAAGGACTGTATTAGTTCACAAAAGGTAGCTTACCACCTTAAGAGCAATTAAGGACAGACAATAAAGTATGGCCTAGCTGACGACATCCACATACCAGGAACAGAATTTTAAAAACTTGGCCTTTCCCCCACCCATATCACCCCATCCTAACTCCTACCCAACACACCGTCATCTTTTGGCAGGGACGGAAGGTAATTCTGCTTATGGTCTTATGAGCCGAAAGGAGCCAAGACATTAGAATTGCTGCAGTGAAGAAAATGAATCAACACCAACTGATATAACAAGCTCACTGAATTCCCAGAAAGCAGCAAATAAGCAGGAAGCCCAACATCAGCTGGGGTGGGGAGGGAGGGGAGCAACTGCCTCACAGGGCTCCAGATACGGGGGCAGGAAACTGAGGGTGAAATGAATTGACCCAAGAAGAAAAATAAATTTAAAACAATCAAGTTACCCCTCTCTCACTATTGGCCATAACAAGCTGTTCATGGTGGGTTACCAGATTAATCACAACAGAATTGACAAAAAAAACCAGCTTTTCTTCTTTTCCCTGTCCTTGCCTTATCAAAGTGCAAAATAGTGGCTACAACAGGAGTGCAATCATTACAATAGCCCTAACCAATGTGGGTTTAATGAGCTGAGTGACCTTCTTGTTCCATGTTTTCATAGAAAACCCCATCCTCAAATTCCTGAATGGGGTCAGAGAAAAAAAAAACAACTTTAATCTGGTTTAAAAAAAAGCTTCCAAGGGTGGAATGGTTTGCATGTCCAAATCTGAACATTAAAATGCAACAAAATACACAATCTAGTCACCAGAAGGCAGCAGTAAACCCCTCCATCCTGCTGAAAAATCCTCCTGAAAGCGTGGAAGAGTGAGGCGGCAGCGGCATAAATGCTGACTCAAACAGCTTCCGGCTCAAAGAACAACAAAAAAAAGTAGTCCTCTTAACTATCAAAGATTAGTGATGAGGTATTGTTTCTCTCAAATCAACTAATGTAGATGAAACACTAATGCCCAAATTGTTGAATAGATTGGAATAGACAGGAATAAGTAAAGTCAAATAATGGTGTTTATAGGATGTCAACATTGGAGTTGAAAAGCTTCTAGCTTGAAAGAGGAAGGAATGTCCAAGGGAGCAAGAAATTTGAAAGTTCTGGGTCCCAGGAAAGGACTGAATAAAGCAGGAGACTACAATGATTCTGGTTTTCAACAGTGATGACAGAAGTGGTAGAAAAAGCATGCAAGATGGTCCTCAGGAGGAACAAGTGTAGACAAACAATAACAGTAAGTACTCACATGGGAGTGGAGAACTTGAATATCACCAATTAGAGACAGCTGCTTTTCATCCTGCTCCCATCAGGACAAACACAAGAATGTCAAATTTCAAACAACAATAATTTACGCTCCAGGGGAAATGGGCTCTGATTGGTTGGCAAATTGATTCCAATCTCTGCTACAGACAACAGCAAGGAAACAGAGGCTCCAAGTCTTTAGATAATTCATAAAAGCACGAGGGCCTGAATATTCCTTTAAGCAGTGAGTGGACACTTGTTTATGAATGCATGTCACCTCTAGCAAGCATAAATGCTTTTTCTATGCCAAAACTTAACCAGAGTTGACATTCCAACCAACCAGCACCTTTTTCTCCTGTAGTAGGCTTGTATGCAATTTGGCATCTTTGTGTTTGTCTGACAGCTGTAAGGTGAGAAGCTTCAGCAACATCTTTTCAGCAATAAACAGCAGTAAAACAGAGAACTGAGAAAGGGCCCAGTGAAGAGACAGTTGAAAGTTAGAGGGTTGGCCCATCAGATAACCTCATATTATTCAGAAATCAGACAGGTTTTTAAGTAGCTTTCCTCCATATCTAACTAGCATCAAGACTTAGTGGGGTTTTAATAATACAGGTCAAAATTATGGAGGCGTTTAAGCAGAACCATGATTTTGGAGATAGTTTTAGTAATGGAATAAAAGATGGGAGAATTCCACTCAAGGCTAGAAAGGAGAACAAGAAAAAAATGTCAATTAACGAATGCTGACAGATGAAGACTGGAACTACTGTTTTGAATTGAACTTCTAAGATTCACAAGTTTCAAGAGTAATGGTGTGGAGAATTTAAAGACAACAGTTTCCATTTGGCTCAGTGCATATGCAAAGTTAAAAAAAAACAGAAAATGGCACTGCATGTGCAGCGAGAGCTTTGTCTTAAAAAGGGCAACCCAAAAGTTTTCACCATATGAACAATTAAGTTTCCAAAACTGATTATTTCATCCGGAACTCAAAACAGATTTGATAATATTGACAATGGCGAGGCCGGGCACACCTACAGGCTAAGCAACTGATATTTGCTACCCATCCTTCCCAAGGGAGGTCCTCTGATTTGGTGCCATGAGAGAAGGAGACAGAGAAATGGGGGAGGGAAATAAGCTCAGAGACCAAGCAAACATGGGCAAGGGTGGGGTCAATCAGGTCAGCGATGATACGAAGAGAGACAGAATGCACCATTTCAGTTATGAGTGGATGCATATAGCATTAGTGCAGTGAGAAGAAAGCTACAGGAAATGCCAGGTAGGAGAAAGAAGAACAATATGTCAATAGGGTGAGATGAAGAGGCGTGGGATGAGGCTTGTGTGAAGCAGAAACACCAGCACAGTGACTGGAATTGTTTATGTCTCATTGTTTAAAACAGCAAAATGCAGAATCAAAGTCGTCTGAGGCTGTACTCATTTTCAGAAGACTGAGCTCCAATTGCTCATGGTAAGACTCCTACATTTTTGTTTCTGTGAATCCAGATGATCGGCACGGGGTAGTGGTTGGTTTTTTCCACCCAGTTGGGCACATATTCTTCACATTTTGATAGGAGTAGAAAGATTTGGGGGCAGAGGCCGAGAGCTGGGCATGCACTGCCGGTGGCTTAGATACTTCCGCAGGTGGGGTCTTGTAAACATGAGGGGCCTGTCCCGGTCTGCAATTTAGTGTGCTGGAAAAAAAAATTAGAAATAAAAATGAGCAATGTTTTTAAAACCAACATGCTTCTCTATGCAATTTCCACGCTCTCCTTCCATCGTGTTGTCTCTCCTGAAATTTGTGGCTTATTGAGGAAATGACAGAGATGCCAGGAGCTCTTATACATGGTCAAAGTTGCATCTTTACAAGTGTACAAAGACATAATCTGAAGGCATTTCCCCAGTGCCAATCTCAACTTCTGAGTCACAACTCACTAATCACACTTCACACGCATCCTATTTTCCTTTCGTCTTGCTCATTTGGTAGCAGACTTGCCCAGATCAAACTTGCACTTTCAAACCTCACTCCAAGGCTCGAGCACATGAACTGAGCTGCACTAACTTGCTTGTACACTACCCAGGAGCAGTGCTTTGTGACAGGGACTGCCCTTTGGGTGAGGATGTTAAATTGAGGCCATCTCTTGTCTGTTTAACGGATATTAAAGATCTTGGAACACGAGTCAAAGTGCAGGTTGATCCCTTTACACCCTGGTCAATATTCTTCCCTCGAACAAAGAAAGATTGATTATGCACTGCATCCCATTGCTACTTTTGGTATCTTTCTGTGCACTTAATGGACAATGCACTTATAACAATTCATTACATACAAAGCATCTCTTTTGACCTTAAGATATCATGACGTTAAGTTTAATTTTAAGAAAAATTAAAGACTTTAGCAAATTCCTTCATGATTGCTGGGTCAAAACCCTGGAATTCCCTCCCTAATGGCACTGTAGGCCAACCTGCAGATGGGACTGCAGCGGTTCAAAAAGGCGTCACCACCTTCTCACGGGCATCTAGGGATGGGCAATAAATGCTGGCCAGTCAGTGATGCCCACATCCCACAAATACATTAAAAAAAACTTCATCACATGACAAAAGTAGTAGGCACAGAAATTTATGACATAAGAATGGAATCCAAGCATGATCATATACATCACACATGGCTGCTAGATGCACTTGCTGCCTGGGCAGAGGCTGAGGCACCACAGAATGAGGGCTATTTGACGTCATGCGGAGAGACAGAGACAGAGATGCAAAGGAGAGCGCGAGAACAGTCTGGATTGGATTCAGGCTCAGTTCAAACCTCTGAGCATGGACTACACCAGTACGCCTTGTCCAAGAGAATATCAATGATTATAATTGCAGAAAGTAGCTTAAGATTTTTGTTTTGTAATGGATCTTAGTGTTTATAGCAGCTTTAATTCATGCAACATAATTTGATTCTGCTCCTACTGCTCAAAGATTCATTTTTTAAAATCTTTAACCCCAAGAAGAACATGGTCTGTATGTCTATCCCTCCAAAAGGACAAACATAGGCCTCATTTCATAAAGGTGCACAATGTCACTTGTTGTAAAATTCCATTCCAGGGCTACTGAGATACTATAGCTGAAAAATGAGTGACATTATTAACAGACAAACGCTCAAGGACATTTTGTCTGCTATTTTGTCGAGTACTAATTGTTCATTTTAAAAGGGTTAATGCCTTGAAAACAGCAGATGAAAATTATTAGAGAAACTAATTAACATTTGTCTACAGCAAAGACTGATTTCTAAGCTTATAATGGTTATACATTAGTTATAGTGAACGCTACTTTTAGGAACAGAACCAGTGTGCCTAGTTTCACTTAGCCAATTTTAAGCACCAGTGAAGGATTGCACTGACAGGTCACAGAATCCTAGAGAAACTATTTCCCATTCTTCCTCCTTATACAATTTCCTTATTAGTAATGAATATTTTGGAAATCATGAGCTGATAAATATATAAAGTGGTAGGAAATATGGACTTTGTATTAATGCAAGGCTAAGACTGTTGGATAATTACAAACTCTATAAATCAATCACACGTCATTGAAGAAAGATTAAATGGAAGATTTGCATTGAAGGCACTGGTTACTGTAGTCAGAGTACAGCATTCTCTAACAGTCAGGTCTTAGCATTGGTAAATTACTGATTCATTTACTTAGCACTGATTTCAGCACTGTACAAAGAATAGAAATTCAATATAACAGAGAGAGACATCTAGCTGTGGCTAAAGTATTGATGATGCTAACAGGAATTGTTTAGTTTGATTTAAAAGCATCACAGAGGAAATGTATTGTTGCAATACTGAAGCCCATTAAATTAAATGTGTTCCTCTCCCAGTTAATAAAACCTGTGTGTTCAAGATCTCATGTCTGCTGTTAATCAGGAAATTCTGCCATTAGCCTGGTAGCCAATGCAAATCAGTCGTATTGATAAGGTTTTATTCTAATAAATTGTGCTGCTGGCTCCCTTGTAAATAGGTAACGCTGACAGCTGAGCCCGATTTCACATTGAACCTTGGCCAAAGTAGAAGATTTTCTTTGAAATACACCATGGTCAGCATCTGCAATTTGGACATCTGCCATCTGCCACACTAATAAAGAACATACAAAGACTAATTTCTTTCCTTATGTCAACAAAGCCAGTCTCCTTCACCCAGGAAAGATGTTTTATAGTGGAGTTTTAACTGGTTACTTGCCCCACAGCAAAAGATCAAAATCATCTTTTTAATGGAAGAAGCTGAATGGGACAGGGTAGGGTTTGGAAAGAGGGGAAACGTGGGGGAAGGGAGAGGGAAAGCAAGGGAGAGTCTGAGGGAACAGGAAGAGAGAAAAAGGAAAAGTCTCACATTCATAAAGCACTTTGTGCAATTTAAGGATTTCCCAAAGTGCTCAATGGCCATTAAATGCATTTTATAAGAGTAGTCACTGTTGCAATGTGTGCAGAACGAGCTCCCACAGACAAGAAGGCGATAACAATCAGATTTGGTTTGAAGTAATTCTGGTTTACAGATTAAGTGGGCTGAACATCTCTACTGTTCCCTGGAATAGTGCCCTGCCTAGTGTCCAGCTGAGAGTTGAGTCAGGATCGTGGGTACAATGTTTCACCAAAATAAAGGCAGTAATGCTGTGCGAGTGCCAGCACATGTGCAAGCCTGTGGCATGGGACCCAACACTACAATGTTATGACAGAGGTGAATGCACTGACCCACTCAGACACAGCCTCATCAGCCATCTTCTAGGTTCCACAGTTCACACAAAGAGCTCTAATTCTTTGATGTAAACAACGTTGTCTTATAACGCAACTTTGTAATTCCTGAAATGTGGTCAAAGACAAAAGGAACTGGAACTACAAATTAAAAAGTTTGATCAAGGCTTAATTCCATCCTGCACCCCCCCATCCCATTGAAAAGAACTTTCACAGCCAAAGGAACAGTGCCAAGCATTGATGCTGTGCCCGGGTGGATTACCCCTTGTGTAAGAAATTTCCTTCAACAACAGTTGGCCACAGTTCTAAAGCCTTCCTACAGCCTGTGATCGTATGGATATCAAATAGACTCTGTTACCATGCAGGTTTCAGAATTGTTTATTTCTTATGAGCCTGTTATTTGAAAAACTGATTTTGTAAAATACTTTAAGTGAAAAAGGACTAGTAAAAGCTCCTGTCATTTTGGTTTAGTTTTTCCAAACTCCAACTTATACTCTACATGTTTACACAATCTTTGAGTGCTAACACAGTTTCTTTGAAGTTTTTAGTGTTGTCGGAAGAGGACATCCGTGCAACGTGATTCAACAGCCGACAGATTGTTGTTAAATCACAATGAAATATAAGATACTGCAAATCTTATAACTGATAATGGATTATTATTGGTAACATTGGCAAAAAAATGAAATTAGCCTTAAACTCCTGGAAGTTTTGAAGTTAGTTTGGGCAACCTTCATTTCATTTGAAAGTACAGACTTGAGCTCAAAGCTGCTGTCAAATGCATTTAAAAAAGCGCTCAGCACACTTGGTGTTAGAGAACAAGGGAGGTCTTTTCAATTGATCTCTTATGACAGTTCATGCAGAAACACCAAAGCAGATTAATACTTTTGAAGATTTCAGAATTTTTTCCATCTTAAAAAAAAACCCTTTGCACTCTGAAATACCCTGAAGCATTCCAGCATTGTGTGTTAAGACCCAATGTACTATTCACTAGAGCATAAATCAACTGGAATTAACACATTAACTTCTCCCTTTCTGCCAACACTGTAGGGCAATTTGTACAGCAGCTTTAACATTGATTTGAAGTGGTTTCAGCTTCATAATAAATTCACTAGAGTGGTGTGCATTGGGCTTTAAAGCCAGAGGTGATTGAAATGAAATGGAACTGTTCCCCTCTGTCAGGTTACATCCCAAATCCCAAATTCAAAGCAGATTTCAAAGGTAACTGCAGGATCAAAGTCAAGCGAAAACAACATTGTTACAGCTGTGTAATGGCAGCACATTTACTCTCTCCATTTATGCGATTCCAGAGAGACAGTTTGCACTACTTTAATATCTTCAACCTAGAAATCAGTCAGTCTGAGGTAATTCATCAGGACAAAATCTAGATGGTGTTCCTCCCCAATTCCTTCCAGGGAATTCCTGGATAAAATTTCAGCATCAACAAATAACCTGAAGAGATTCAACATATAACAATAGCACTGGAACTGTTCATTCATTGGCAGTGGTGAAATCATCAATTCTTTAAAAGAATTTGGCTCAAAAAACTCTGGTTATTTCTTAACACATTGGTATTTTAACATTGTTTGTTCTTTGGGGCCAGTTTTTCATCACCATTTTAATGTTCAGTGTGTTGTCAACATCTGAGTTGCGTTCCAAGAGGGTGTTATCATCACATATCAGGTACTGCCTACATCCCAGACAAGCTCTCCCTTTCGGCCCTGTGGTGGGCAAGGGGAGGGCAGGGGTGTGAAAGTAGATTAGGTGGAAGGAGGGAATTCTGGCCGCTCAGTGACAGGATCAAGAACAGAAAAAGATAGAAATTATGCCAGTAACTCAGTGGAGAGGAGTGGAGCAGGTGAGACGAATGCGTAGTGCTGGCATCTGTGAGCACTGCAGACATTCAAGAGGCTATGGCCACAGCTCAGTGGCATGGTGGCTCAGTGGTTAGCACTGCTGCCTCAC